AGGTCTGCACATACAGATTATTTTTACAAGCATTCGCTGGATTTAAACACAGATTTTCAAAGCCTTTGCAATATTTTGATCATATCTGAATAAATTTAACAAGCAATAAAAATAGAATTTAATCCTCTCGTGAAACAGCTCCCCTAATCACCCCTCTGGTTTTTGATCAGAAAGCTTTTTTTGTCAGGTGAACCAACAAGCTGGTAGATTTTTGAGGTCAGTTCTTTGTTTGAATTGTAATTCTATCTTCTCTCTCTTTCTAGGCCATGGCTGTTATCTTCTCAAATTTTAGCATTATAACAACAGCTCTTCTATTCAGGATAGTGCTGAAGTAAGTAACTTGCTGTGAAAGTATAAATCATACTTTAAAATGTCGCAGCCTGATTTCAGTTGATAATACCCAGAGTACTGAGCCTTCAGAGCCCCAAAGCCGAGGTTTTATTCCTAATTGGCTTTGTGTATGAAGAAAGCTGTTTAACCTATCTGGAAAGCTGCTCCAAGACTAGTCTGACTGAATCCTCTGTAATAAGATGGAGGAAAGTTTTGAGCATCTCATAAAAAACATATACATAATTGACTGAGTTATAATTGGTATCTTAAATTTTAATGCCAGGTTTGAAACAAAGAATTTATGAGCTGCTTTTTCTTCAGCAGAATCTCTGTGCTTTAATGGGAAACCAAGAGGTTGCTAGGATTAACATATTTGTTATTTAGAATTTTGAGATAAGAAAGAGTGACAAATTCTTCATTAAAATTCTTGAGATGAATACGTGATTTAAGCTTTAACTAGTAGAGGATTGCATGAGAAATCATACATAAAGTTTGTAGTTTAGGTTAGAGAGTAAGACTGATAGGTTTTAAATTTTTGAAAATGCCTTCATCAGTCTTTCCTAGCTCCAAAAGGACCGCTGAATACTATAAACATTTTTAGGTAAATAGGCTCTGCTTCCAAGGAAAGACCAGGCATATCCTAAACCAAAAAACCAAATTCACTGCCATCAAGTTGATTCTGACTCATAGTGACCCCCGTTGGGTTTCCGAGGCTATAAATCTTTACAGAAATAGATTGCCCCGTCTTCCTTCCATGGAGCAGCTGGTGGGTTTGAACTTCTTAACATCTGTTTAGCTGCCAAATGCTTTACCCACTACACCATCAGAGCTCCTTAGGATATCCTAAGATCTGACTCATAGCAACCCCTCCTTGAGTTTCTGAGCCAGTATCACTAGGGAAGTAGATTGCCCAACTTTGCTTTTGAGGAGTGGCTGGTGGGTTTGAGCCTCCAGCCTTGTGATTAGCAGTCAGATGCCTTAGGCACTACACCATCACACCACCAGAGTTCCCTGGGTATCCTGAGGAAGTGAGTAATACCAGATCTGGATATTTAACTACAGCTTAATTTGCTATATAAGGATGATGTTGATGATGATGATAAAAATAAAAGCACCTTCTTGTCACATGTGTTGTGGTTATTTTAATTTTACATTTACTTTCACTTTTTAATTTCTTGTTTCTCACTGTGCTATGTGAGAGTGTTTTCTTGCATAATTTATGTACAGAGAAGGAAGAATGAATTGGCATATAGGCCTGAAAGTAAATTCAGTTGTGAATTAATGAATCCAGTGCTCTTTGATATATGGAATTCCTGAAACATTTTCTTTTACCCTGAGGAAACATTCAATTCAATAGTTACGGGAGATGGGAAGCAAAAAAAAAATGAAGATTACAGTTAGTCCAGTTTAAATGTTAAAGTACATTGACATTTGTTTATGCAGCATGTTCTTCATTTTAGGTATGAATTATGAAAATAATTATTTAGCAGTTTAAAGAATGCTGTTCAAAATGTTATGGAAATCAACATGTAGCTCACTTTGAAGAATAAAAAGTTGACTTCTGAGAAAATGAATGTAAGAAATGATATTTTTACATTGATTCCTGTGTTAAAATAAGAAATGTCTTTCCAAAAAGGGAAAAAAAAAAATGACTGAAAGACATAGTAAAGTGCTCTTTGTTTAATAAGGGAGCAGAGGACTCAAAAATATAATTTCAGAGTAAAAAGAACTTTTTTCTATGAAATGATAATTCATGTGTACACATGGTATTGTGTAAGTTATTGTGTAATATACAAGTATTATGTAAAAATGATATCAATTTAAAATTGAATTTAGCAAAGAAGATAGAATGTATAGATTGCCCCATTTGAAACTGGCCAGTAGCCCTAGCTCTGCCCTATAGCAAATATCGCCTATTAAAATTTTTAAGCATTTAACTATTTGCATTAAAAAAGTTAATTCTTAGGTTAGCCAAATCAAAATCTATACTGCAAATGTAAAATTTTACTTTTAGTATTACTAATTATAACAATATTGATTGAATTATTGCTAGTTTTAATTAACATAAATTTTATAGTTAATTTTTTTTTCACATACTTTACCACTTAATCTTTAGTGCAATAGTATAAATTCTTTTTTTTTTTTTTTTTAATTGTGATTTGGGTCAAAGTTTACAACACAAATTCACTTTCCATACAGCAGTTCACATACACTTTGTCTCATGACATTGACTACAATTTATCCCAATGCAACAGCTCCCCTCCCACTTCCTCCCAATAGTTACCTCTTCTCTGTATCCATCCTTCCATGCACTCCTGCTCCCTGAGCTGTCTTCCTGTGCATAAACAGACCTTTCTCCCATGATTGTTCTCTCCAAGCAGTGTAGCTACCTTAGGTAAATGTTCACCTCTTATTGGGCTGGAAGCCACAGATGTGGGTTCAATTCCAGATCTGAAGGGCAGCTAGGGGCCGTAGTCTCAGTGGTTCCACCAGGCTCTATCAGACCAGCAAACCCAGGCCCCTTTTTTTTTCCCCAATATTATTTTGAGTTTTGGTCCACATTTTTCTCCCTCTCTATCCAGGATCTCCTACATAGATTCCCTCTCTGAGTGGTTGACAGTGGTAGCTGGGCACCATCTAGTTCTTCTGGTTCTTCTTGTATAGGCTGTGGAGCACATGGTGTACCAGTCGCAAGGACTAATTGTTTCCATGAATCTTTGGTTTTCCTCATTCTTTGCTCTGGATGAGGAGAGACCCATCATTGCATCTAGATGGCTGCTTACAAAATTTTAAGATCCCAGTTGCTACCTGCCGAAGTAGGAGGTAGAACAATGTTTTGTGTAGTATGTTATGCCAGTTGAGCTTGATGTCCCCTGTGACTATGGTCCTGAGCCCACAGGTTCAACTACTCGGTCCCTGTGGGTAGCTAGGTGTGACCAAGAAATGACTACAACCTTGTCCCTTGTCAGCTCTACTATACACCTGGGAATTCTTACAGAACATACAAATACACTTGTAGAACCATTGTCTGCCAACCCTATATATGGTCTTGGGTACACTCCCCACTTCAAAGACATACCTAATAGTTTAGCCTGTCCACCCACCTGTCCATCCGTAAACCCATGTTTGCCTTCACTGACAATGCAGTACTGTATGGGCAAAAGGCTTCATCTTTGTTGTCTGCACTTCCCATGTACCTCTCTCTGTCTTCCTCTTCCTCAGTGCCACCATGTTGATCACTCACATTTAGTACATTGCCCTTCTCTTCACCCAAGTCATTATTTATGTTTACCTATCTAATAGTGTTCCCTGTTGTTGTTATGTGCTGTGGAGTCAGACCCAACTCATAGCAACCCTCCTTGGGTTTCTGAGGTGGTATCACTGTGGAAGTAGATTGCGGTTTGAACCGCCAGCCTTCTGGTTAGCAGGCAAGTGCTTTAGGCGCTATGCTACCAGAGCTCCTACAGTGTTCTCTACTGACATAAAAAATGAACACATTTTTTTATAATATATATTTTAATAAATAATGAGTGCCATATAGAAGTTATTTTGGAGAACTCTCATTTGTAAAGTTCAAGGTACTCTGTGACACGTTCATTTTGAGACTTAATCTAATCTAGGATCATTGGAACTTACTTAGAGCACAATCTTAAGTGCAATAGTATAAATTCTTAAATATGCCTTTGCTTTGTTTTTAAAATCTCTATGTCTAAATCCTTATTTACATTTAAGGAAGTTATTTACATTTGAGAAACAATAAAACCACTCCATTGTTTCTATTTCCACAGGCACCAATTTAGCTCACTGGGTAGGTCTTAATTTGACTGATTCAAAAATAAACACTGAATCTACCCTAAATAGTAGATAAAATATTGTGGTAATCAATACTATCTGCCATTTAAATACTAGCTTTTATTACATTTTAAATCAATTTAAGATTGTTCTATTTTGATTTTTTTCATTTGTGTGTATGTTGGTTGGTGGTGGTTCTCTAATCTATCCTTCATAAATCCTTTGAGTGTCTTGCCATTGGCAGTGAAATCTTGATGTAGACATAGCAGTTTAAGTGTTCTATCATATATTCTTAATTTTTTTGCCATGAATAATTCATTTTTCATTTAGAATAGTAAAGCTGTTGTTTTGTATACCTGACTCTAGCAGAGCCATCAAACGTTGTTTCCCCTACAGATAAAGAATATGAGGCTACAGAAGTAGGAAAAAATAAGCCTAGTGACTAATGCAAAGACTACTTGGAGGAATTTAAAAGCAGGAAAAGAAAAGTATTACCATTCTAATGCCCTATTATCTTTTCTGGAGAAACTGAATATACTGATTTGCTCGTTGAAGTATATCCACTGGTTCAAAGGAAAACAGGGCAGTCATTGTATAATCTTTTTTGTATAATCTTGTTTGCCTTGGCTTTGGGAAATTTTATCAACCTGAACATTGAGTATTTGGGCAAAAGGTAGCCAAGAGCAGCACTTACCTTTACAAAGACAATATATATAAGTTTCCCCAACATTTTCAAAGAGAGGCTATGGAAAAAAAATCATTAAATCATTAAGGAATATTTTGAAACATATGATAGATGTCTTGGAAGTTACAGTAAAACTTAGGGACTGTCTAAACCAGCAGAAGAATCAAGAATGGTGCCACTTAGTAGTATAGGCATTTTTTCCAATATCATCCATTCATGTGATAATCTTTATAATTTCTCCTAACTCTGCTCCTGATCACTCTGTGCTACTAAGAAATGTGTTATGTGTACTTTCCTGAGAAAGTAATCATGCAGGTTTTTCCACTTAATTGTTTTCATGTTCTGTTCTGGCTTACTACCACCAAATATGGTGGAAGTGTTCTTGTCAAAAACAACTTGTATTTCCTTACCCAGTTACTAGAAGAACTCAAAGCGGAGAATTATAATACAAAATAGATAGCTTAATTTATTTTAAAATATGCAAATGTACATGTATTCATTCATTCTTTTTGATGTAAAGCTAAGGCTTTTCCTTTGAGTGTAGGTAGGTTTGTTTGTTGGAGTTCTTTGAATTTTTCTTACATGAAGCCTCATTATGCATCATCCATGATTTCTGGTTTCAGTTTCTTTAAAGTGGAACAAGTCCTTAAAAATAATTTTTAGGTAGAATTCTCCTAGAGTTTTATTATCTGTTCTCTAATCTTTTATAATTCGCTCACCTATACCTAATTCAAATGCAGTTTTTTTATGTTGTGAGTGATTCATCTTTAACTAGTCTTTCCAAATTGCTCAACATAGTTTTTCCACTCATAGTTTATCACTTTAAATAATATGTACTATATATATACACACACACACATATACATACAGTAACATCACCTGGGAAAAACACATTTAGAAACAGACTCTGAACAATTTGTGGTAGGAGGGGAGAGGCACTCAGGGTAGCTTTCTAACCTCTTGCTTTGAGCACCAATCAGAATGCTTATAGGAGCAAAGAAGAGAATCAACTAAATGAACTACTATGTTGAGTTGAATACACTGTGAGGAGCAAACTCCTCTGTACACAATCAGTGGTCATTTGTAAGAGCTCAGATCCTCAGCCAACTCTACAAGGTAATTTTTTTTTGTTGAAAATCCACCATTTTCAGCCTTATCCTTAATGATTTTTGAAATGTTACTTTGAATAAGTAATTGTTTGCAGTAGGTACTGTTTAGCTTAAGTGTTTAGTTAGTTCTCTTTTTATTTTTTCAATGTCAATGTCATTGAAAAATACACAGTTGTCAGAATTGAAATCTAAAGGAACAATAGATTATATCATTACCTCATTTATCTGTGATACTATAGGTAGTCTTAAGTTGAAAAACTAGTTTTTAAAATTCTGAAAATTGGCCGTCCATTTTTCATCTCTGCCTTTGTCTACTCTCTTTTCTGCTATCTTATGTGCCTTTTTGTAGACCCTTTTTTCCCTCTGCCTGTTACATCCACTCACTCCTTTTTAACATGACAAACTCCAATTTAGTTATCGTCTGTCACCTCAAGTGCCATTTTCTCTTTGAAGTCATACCTGATTCCTTCCTCTCTATCTCAGCAGCTTTCCATGTATAAACCTCTCCTTGTATCACTTACTATACATTATATTGACATGGTGGCTGCGACGATGGGCTCAAGTATGGTAGGAATCATGGAGCTGGTGTGGGATCAGGCAGTGTTTCATTGTGCTGTGCATGGGGTCGCTATGAGTCGAAAACGACTCAATGGCACCTAACAACAAGAACACATTGTCATTAGTTAGTTTCATGGTTGTCCTTCAAATTCTGAGGATGGAGGTCAGATCTTCTTGATTTTCCCAGAGTTTCTGGAACATAATGGCTGCCCATTAAATGTCTGTTGAATAAATCAACAAAATGGAATAATCATAATACATGTCCTCTATAGCCATGAGTTTGTTGTTAGCCCCTCCCTTTAAAAAAAGCATTCTTAGAACTTGATGAACTATGAAACTGCTCAAAGGATTTTTTTTTTTCCCCTTGCTTAATGAACTAGAAGTTTGCTGAATAATATTTTGTGATTAGATCATAGATCTAGGAGTTAGCTTTCTCTCCAAATCTTTTTTGACTCATGAACACCTTTGAAGATTTGACAGAGCCTTGAAGAATCTCCCCAGCAGGGGAAAATTCACCTACATAGAAGGTTTTGAAAACATTACAAGAATTTACAGGTTCCTGAAGCTTGTCCACATACTTTCTGGTTCATGAACTTCAGGTTAAGAATCCCTGTTAAAATTTACTTTACAGCAGATAATAAGTTATCAGGCAAATTAGTAATTATTATTTATGTAGTAATATATTCTGTCTAGGCCTACAAACACCTCTGGAAGGAAAAGGGAGCCTTAGTTAACGCAAAAGATGAGCAGAAATCTTCAAAGAGGAGAAATGACTCACTGGCTTTAAGGGACAGCTATTAGGAAAGTAAATAAAAATGCCAGGATTAGCAGCAGAGGCACCCACAGGGTTTCCTTTAAGCTTAAATTGTGGGGAATGCTAGCAGTAAGTGTAGTTTAGCCAACCAAGTACTCAAGCATCTGTTTGAGTTGTCAGTAGAAATTATTTATATAGCAAAAGAAAACAGCAGTGAAATCTTGTTTTTCATCTTTGAACAGGCAGCACCTAAACTGGATACAGTGGGCTTCCCTCTTGATTCTGTTTTTGTCTATTGTGGCCCTGACTGCTGGAACCAAAACATCACAGCAGAACTTGGCAGGACATGGATTTCATCATGATGTCTTCTTCCGCCCATCTAATTCCTGTCTGCTTTTCAAACATGAGCACCTGAGAAAAGACAATGGCACAGCAAAGGAATGGACTTTTCCTGAAGCTAAGTGGAACACTACAGCCAACGTGTTTAATCACTTCCGTCTTGGTTTAGGCCATATTCTTATTATAGTCCAGTGTTTCATTTCTTCAATGGCCAACATCTATAATGAAAAGATACTGAAGCAAGGGGACCAGCTCACTGAAAGCATCTTCATACAGAACAGCAAACTCTATTTCTTTGGCATTCTTTTTAACGCACTCACCTTGGCCCTTCAGAGGAGTAACCATGATCAGATTAAGAATTGTGGGTTTTTTTATGGCCACAATGCATTTTCAGTAGCCCTTATTTTTGTCACTGCATTTCAGGGTCTCTCAGTGGCTTTCATCCTAAAGTTCCTGGATAACATGTTCCATGTTTTAATGGCCCAGATAACCACTGTCATTATAACAACAGTATCTGTCCTGGTGTTTGACTTCAGGCCCTCCCTGGAGTTTTTCTTGGAAGCCCCATCAGTCCTTCTCTCAATATTTATTTATAAGGCCAGCAAGTCTCAAGGTCTAGAATATGTACCAAGGCAAGACAGGATCCGAAATCTGAGTGCCAGTCTTTGGGAGCGCTCCAGTGGGGTAAGTTGTGAGGATGCTGCTTTTTTGTCTTTTCTCAAATTCCAAGTATGATTATGCAGAAATAAAGATCTGATTTATCACAATATATTAGTTATCTGTGACTTTTAAAAATCAGTCAAGCAACATTCATTGAACTTCTTATGTGTGCAAGGGCTTGTGATAAATATTGTCAAGTGTAGAAAATATAAATCATGGCCTCCAGGACCTTAGAGTTAGGTTTATCACAGAGTTGGATGATGCCTCACAAATTATCCAGAAAGTAACTCAGAGGCTAAGTGGTTTATAGCCGGTAAGTTAGGCCCATGGAGCCTGACTCCTGGTTTACTGCTTTTTCTACTCTACTCTGGTTAAGGAGGCAAGCCTTGTTTGTAAGAAAACTTGATCTTATGCATTGACAAATCTTGTTAGAGAACTTGGCCCCTTGATTCTCTCTGTAGTTACTGATAAACCAGTGTGCCAGAAGAGCAAGGCCTATTAATCCCAATAAGAAGGAGGTTTTCAAAGAGATTTTCGCAAGTATGAGAAAAATGTCTTCTAGACAAGTATCTTCTAGTTGCATGTAGTTGTTGTTAGAAGGGTCAGTCATGTTATTAGCAATTGAATCAATAATGATCTTTTGGAGGTACAATTAAAGGATTAAATATATGTTTAAATGGTAAAATAGATTTCAATTTTTGTGAACACAAAATATGAAATAATTTCATATATTAACATTTCACTTAGTGGGAAAATTAAGGTATTGTTTAATAGAGTTCATGAGGCAGTATAGCTTGGTATAATGCCTCTGACGTGGTAACACAGTGGATTCTTAGGATGAAAAATTGGAAGTGTAGGTTCCAAATATCTGCCCTCAGAAGTCCTTTATTCTTTTCCAACAGACTGATAACACTGTTTGCCCTACTTTTTAACCAAAGGAAAATCAAATGTAGGTAACAAGGCCAAATTTATATCTTTCTCCAAGGAGGACTGGGTAATCTACTGCCGTAAAGATTTACCACCTTGGAAACCCAAAGGGTGTTGCTATCAGTCGGAATCGACTTGATGGCAGTCAATTTGGTTTTTTTGGTCCACCCTTTAGGTAAGTATTGTCAAGACCAGCAGAGGGTGCTCTTGTTTCTACTGTTAATTTTGAAATCCAAATATTGCATTTCATTTTTTTTTTATCTCTGTATACAACAACTCCTAAAATTAACTTTCCAAGAACTTAAGAATTTATTTAAGTTTAGTTTATAATATTATATTTATACAGGTATGCATTATTTAATGTCCTCTCAGGCAGTGCCTGCTGTGCATACATTGGTGGTCCTGTTAGGTTGTTTTGTTTTATATAAAGGGGATGAGCAGCCTTATTTTTGTTCATTATTTTCTCCTAGTGTTTTGAAAGACCCCAAACCCCCACTTTTGTAGCACTGGAGCACAGGTGGGATACAGGCAGATAAGGCAGAAGAGATGGCTCTGGAAGTGGGCTCTCAGGCTTTATGGTTGGCAGGCAGGCAGCGGTAGTGGAGGCTGCAGAGCCCTGACCACTCCTGCCATTAAGGCAGGCTGAATAGCAGGTGGGGGTGGGTATGCTCAGCTCCTGTTGCCACCGCTGCCCCCACCCATTCCATCAGCTTCCACCAGCAGCTCTAGCAGCAGCAGCTCTCACAGCAACAGCAATAGCAGTGGCCACAAGGATGATGAAGCTGACTCCCAAACTTCACACAAAGTCCTAATCATGTAGCATCCTATCTCACAGAACATTTCATGGACATTAAGCAATATATACTTTTGCTTTAATTAAATATGACCTATGACTTATGAATAAATTATTGTTGAGCAATCATTAAAAATAGTATATGTCTAGTTTTGTTTTAATTAATTGATGATTTCATATGTTTCCTTTTAGGATGGAGAAGAACTGGAAAGACTTACCAAACCCAAGAGTGATAATGAGTCAGATGAAGAGACTTTCTAATTGGTACTCATATAATTGGCAGCTCTCACAAACCTAATTTTTATGTTTGTAATATTTATCTTTTCATGGTGATAAGCTAAGAATGTTTCTAAAATATAATACTCTTTGCACATATCTAAGCACCCCTAAACAGTTCCATCCAAGGCTTAAAGTACCTAGAGACTGAAAAGTTCTAAAGAACTGTCATAGACTTAATACGATAGAGACTGTAGCAATAGCCCAGTACTTGATAAGTCAACAAGATATATTTGCAGATTGTTTCCTTTGTCTTCAAAGTTCCAAAAAGCTTGAAGCAATCATGTTAGCTGTACCTTATAAATTGACAAATAGAGATCAGTTTGCCAGACGTTAATAGTTATGTAGTGCTAGTCTACATGCCATTCTTCTCTTTTTTATAATTACAGACATTACATAGGTTGTTGCTTGAATTCTGAGGCCTTAGAGATACTCATTCTGTAATTATAAAACAGATCTCTATTGGCTGGAGGACATAAATTATCTGGCTACACCACATATTTTGGGGTAAGGTACTCTATGCTGAATGTTGTGAAGAACAATTTTTAGGTATTTGAGGGAAATTGGGTTTTAGTTATTTCCTTTTGATGTTTTTCTGCATGAATAAGCTTTAGTTTAAGTGAAAGTTTCCCATTCACCAGTTATTGCTTGTAATTTAATTCAGTTGTACAAGCCATGTTGTTTGTTTGTTTTCTCCTCAGTTATGTATCACAAAATCTTGATCTCATTACTCTGGCATCATTACGTTTTGGAAAATTAATAAGGAAGCATTTCATTTTACTGTGTATTAATTGGAGCTTGTGATTATTTTGTGTCTTTATGTCATATCCTGTTCCCCAAAGTTAAGATGACTTTAGAATGATACAATTTTGTCAGTAAGACAAATGCTTAAGAATTCCTTTTATTTATTTATTTTAAACTTTTTATTGTGATTTAGGTGAAAGTTTACAGAGTCAATTATGTTTCCATTCAAAAGTTTATCCACATTTTGTTTCAAGAATTCCTTTTAAAGAGATTAATTTGCAAACATGTGTTGACATTCCTTGAAATATGAGTCGTGTTATTCTAAAAGCCAGTAAAATAAAGTATTTTACAGTAATAGTTTTCTGCACTTACAATGCATGATATTTTTTGAGTTGGTTTTGCATGCAGCATATTGACTTTATAAGGTAGAGAAGTCAGATGATAGAAAATGAAAAAAAATGAGAAAACAGAAGTGACTTGTCCAATGTCATGCAGCTAGATGGTGATAGGAAAAGGGTAGGCTTTAGCTAATATAATGCATTATATTTACTGGGTACTACACTGTGACTGTGAACTTTAAAGTGTTACTTTAACACAGCCTATAGGCATTTCTTCTCTTCTTTCACTTAATATTCATACAAATAAATATAAAATTAAAAAAAAAATCTCTTGCCGTCAATTTGATTCTGACTCATAATCATCATGTATGACAGAGTAACTAGAACTGTCCCATAGGGTTTCTAAGTTTTCCGTATTTATAGAAGCAAACTACCACATCTTTTTCCCATGTAGTGGCTGGTGAATTTGAACCACCAACCTTTCAGTTAGCAGCTGAGTACTTAACTAGTGCACCACCAGGGTTTCTTAGAGAAAATACTATATTTTTTTTCATATTGTATACCTGTCATACTAAAAAAAATTATTTGAGGTGTGGAGAATGTTTAAATCTTAGACTTCCTTCAAAAATGGAACAATGAAAGTATCTTAGGTGATAAACAATCAGTTTCATAAATAGGAGAGAAATTCTCTAAATCTGAACAAAGTATTTAATGGATTATTTTTCCCCCTGTTATATTGAAGATAGTGGAGAAAGCTTCCATCTGTGCAGTGCAGTGAATTACTTAATATGGCTTTTCTAGCCATAGCTTTGTAACATCTACAGTGATTGGGTGAGACTATGAGAAGAAAGTGCTTGTGGTTTACCAAGGGATTGAACAGCTTGCTGCTAATGCAAATAATGGAACCTGTGATGGTTAAAGTTGTGTGTCCACTTGGCATGATTTTAAGTGGTTTGGCAGTTATGTAATGATATGATTTGGTAGTTATGTTATCATCCTCCTTTTTGTGGTCTGATTTGACTATCCTCCATTTTGTAATCTGATGTGATCATCCTCCATTTTGTGATGTGGTATGAATCCTAGCTACTATATCTGTGCTTATGTCCCATTTGGGAGTGAGCTGTCTATTATGTTAGTGATGCAGGATTTGGGTGGGATGTATCTTGAGGGTATCCATAGGGTCACTATGAGTTGGAATCAACTTGATGGCAGTGGTTTAGGTTTGGTATCTTGAGTATACATATTTACTAGAGGCCTTACTAAAGGGTGTGACCCAAGACACCACTCTTCATACCCTTGTACTGACTTGTTCAAATAAGGGGAGTTTCCTTGAAGCTATGATCTATATCCAATATATTGAATGTTCTGGCAAAGTTTTCTTTGTTGCTCAGGATACTGCATCTGGCTCATCATCATCTGACTTCTGGTTCTTGACCAGCTGCCTATCGTCTGACTGAATTGCCAGCTTCCGCAGCATTGTAAGCCAACAGCCTGTTTTCTGACCTGCCAATTTGGGTTTGTCAGGCCCTACAACACCGTGAGTCAGGAGATGCCTCCAACCTGAACCTGACCCACGGATTTGGAACTTTCCAGCCTCCATAACCATGTGAACCATTTTCTTGGCAACTTATGAGTTGTGAGACATTAAAGTGAATTATGATGATAGGAAAAGTACTGAGGGGAGAAGGAGTAGTTGTTACTAGAGATGAGAGAGTGGTATAGCATTTTAGGAGAGCTGGACATTTGGGATATCTTTAACTTCCACCTCAGAGGAACCAGCTTTGTGCTGATCCTTATAAAAGAAGTTATTTGTTCACTCTGTAATGTCGACAATGATATGATTTGCAAAAGTTGGTGGAAATTTTGTAATTAAAATTATTTAAACCTTCATCTTGTGTCATCATTCTGTGTGATGAGATAGAATGTAGAATTCTGTTAATTTCAAAAAATTGGAATGAGACAAACTTTAAAATTTTCTCTTCAGTAGATCTTGACTTTTGAGAATAAAAAAGTTGTTTACCTTATCATAGGCATTCCCATCAGAGTTAATGAACCAGGAAGATTACAACTCTGTGACAATTCATCATAAAAACAAGGAAAAGAAGGTACAGGAGGTTCCCACTTTTAGGAAATAAAGCATGCAAAACATTTTTGTCTTATTAAGAAAAAAAAACAACAACAACTCATGTTGTCAAGTTGGATCCCACTCATAGTGACCCCACCTTGGGTTTCTGAGGCAGTATCACTGCAGAAGTAGATTGCCCCATCTTCTTTCTGAGGAGTGGCTGGTGGGTTTGAACCACCAGACTTCTGGTTAGCAGTCAAATGCCTTAGGCACTATGCCACCAGAGCTCCCTTCTGTCTTATAGAACACATAAAATTATAAAAATATAATTTACAAAGGTGTGGTAGTTAGATTTGTATGTCAACTTGGCTGGGCCAGGTTGAGTGGCTGGGCAGCTGGTGGTAGTTATTCCCCATGATGAGACTGGCAATCAACTCCATGGTGGGATCTACCACAAGCAGCTGAGTAGCTGCCTTTGAGATGTGGTCTACTTCCTGTATATAAGGAAAAGTTGGGTATAGTCTCTAGCTTATGGCACGCTCGGACCCTGCATGTACTCATGTCATTGTTCAGCAGCCTGCAATGCTCTGCCAACCTTGGGACTTACAATGGACTTGAATTAATGGCCTGCCGTGAGGTTTGGTAATATCAGGACTGTGCCTATTTACTTGTCAACCTTGGGTTTGTCACCCTCAGCAGCCAGTAGCTCTCTGAGAGAAGAAACGCCTTTAGCTCCAGTGGGTCGGGAGCAGGAGGCAGAGCTGAACCCCAAGGTTGAGGGGCTTTCACACAGCCCCTAGAGCCTGACACTTTGAACTTGGACTTAAAGCCTCCAAAGTGTAAGAGAATAAACTCATGTTAAGGCCATCCCATTTGTGGTATATTCTTGTCAGAGTGGCACTAGGTAACCAGAACAAAAGGTGTCCCCGAATACATTAAACAGCAGATTCCACTAGTGCATGGAGATTGATAATTTTCAGTGTTTATTTACCATCTAATAAAGAGGGCAGGAACTGAAGTGAATACTCTAGAGTACTTTGGGGTATCACCATTTTAAAAGGTGAGATATCTAGAGACCACATTTTATTATTTTAGACGCTCTTGGAGTCAAGATACTGTATAACCTAGAAAGAAGAGCAGTTGCCATATTTAAAAAGAACAGACTTCTTTCCCACTCTGGAGAAACAAATACGGTGAGAGTTATAGGGTAGTGGTTATTCTTTCATTTTAAGGAAAAATCTCCAAACAGAAGGCCCCTGAGTGGCTCAAAACAGTTTGCACTCGACTACTAACTTAAAGGTTAGCAGTTTGAACCCACCCAGGTGCACCACAGAAGAAGGACCTCACAGTTTGCCTCTTTAAAGATTACAGCCAAGAAAACCCAATGGGGCAGTTCTACTCAATAACACATGGATGGGATCACCATGAGTTGGAATTGATGGCAATGTTTTTTTTTTTTTTTTCCTACTAACAAATGATACCTTTCAACAATGGAAGAGTAGTAGAGAGTGAATAGTAAATTTTCTATCACTGAAGTTTTTAGGCAGAGATTTTATCAGTATCTGGGATGTCATGGAAGAGATTGCTTTGTGATTTGTAAAGGCTTTTTCTAATAATGTCATCTAAGCAGTTTGACTTGAGTTTTCACCCTCCATAGTTTCTGAATAGCCTTTGTTTAGACACAGGAAGAACCTATAATACTATGATCAGGCTCCAGCTCTGCCACTGGTCCTGGGACTGAACTTCTGTTTAGGAATAAGGAGGGATAGGAATGTGGCTGTTGGTTAAAGATGGCTTAGATACAGCGTTCAAAATCTTTATTCAACTACATACATGTTACCATAGGCTTTCAAGATTGTGTGTAAAGGGGACACTCCGGGCAGAATTACTCTGTTTATAACTCTTAAGACTTTTTGCCTCAGAATGT